TGAACCTGGCGCTCAATGACGTCACGCCGACCCCGCGCTGTGATTGGCTGCCGGCGCCGCCCTCTCCCGAGCGCCGCCGAAGGAGAGCAGCGACGAGGAGGGGCGTCCCTGCCAGCCTCCCTTAGCACCCAGAATTTCCCACCACGCAACGGGGCGATTCGCTTATTTCACGTCGTGTCAGGTATGTAGTAATCCGACGGAGGGAGCCGTCGAGAAATTGGCTCGTTCGGTGCGAGAGAGAGTCGGAAAAGGCGAGGGTGAAGTGAGCATGGTGCGGACATCCCCTTTCGGAGGGACGAGCGACAAAGCCAAAGGGCCAAGTTGGAAAGGTTGGTCGTCCAATTTGGGCGTCGGGCGGCAGCTGGACGTCCAGGGAGCCTTCCGAAAGGTTCCTCGAGGCCGAAACTCGTGTTCGGAAGTAGTATGAGCGTGGCAGACGGTGATTTGGTCGCAGATAAGGCGAAGAGGAAGAGGAAGGTCCCTGGGCGCCAACTCGTCCCTCTGGCTGCCTCTCTCCACGCCGTCGCAGCGGCCTTTTGCCTGTCCTTCTTTCCATCTTGCCTCCAGACCTGTACGTCCTCACTGAAATAGTTCACATCAGCATTGCACCAAGTGATGGTGGGAATTCGGGAAGGGATTTAGTTCATATTTAATAAAGAAAATTGAGTAGACGCCAATGAGAGGGGTGACTCTGATATTTTTTTGAAGCTTGACCTACTAATGACAAATGTTGAAACTGGTTTTTGATATATTTCTACTTGACATTGGCCATTCACTCAGTTTCAAAATGTGTTTATGGATATGAGAATTGAGCTGGAATGCTAATTGTTTAGTTTTATAAATCAAAACCTAAATTAATTCCCCATTTCAGGATTTGGGAAAGTTTTGAATAGGGGTTCCCAAACTGGAGGGCCATACTGGAGAGTTTTACACTTGCAGAAGTTCTGCAGCAATAGATTTGCAGCTTTTAGATATGTTTAATGTCTGTGCAAATTTCTTTACTCATCCTGAAGTTCATTAGCATGAGATGTGTTTTCCCATATAACAATATCTTTGAAAAGTTCAATTTACATAAAGTAAGATGCCATCATATCTGCATCTCTAAAATATGCCACATTTAGTGTAGAATATTTTTCTCCATCCCAAAGATCATGGGTGCTACATGTATGTTGTCCACTTTGGCTGTGGACTATAAAACAATTTGAAAGTGATGAATATGAATTAAGTGGATTCTATCTCAACCTGGCATGACCATCTAATACTTTCCATTTATAAACCTATGTCTTGTAGCTTTTTGGCACTCTGTCTAGGGCTATTGAGACCATTATACTATTTATGATTTATAGTATCTGACGAAAATATGACTGGCATTGATATGGGCCATAGAGATGACTGTATATTAGCTAGCAGACTTAGAATTGAAATGGGTCAAGAAGCACTGGATTAGGGGAACACTTATAGTTTGTTCAGAATTGCAGACCACTGTGATTGAATTTTTTTTTTTTTTTTTTTTTTCGATATGGTAGAGGAATAAAACACTGACCTTGTATGTTGATTTAGTTTGTAATATGAATAATGACAATATATATGTTTGGAATACACCTAAAAGTGTTCAGGTAGAATAGCTAATATTTAATGTAATTTTGCAGATACCATGGCGATGTCTTCCAAGAAGATAACATATACCAGTGATTTTAAGTTAAAGGTACTTGATTACTATTTCAAGAATGGAGGCGATGATAATTTTGGACTCAAGAAGAAAACTGCTCAACACTTCAACATCGACAAGAAGACTATCAGCAGGTAAGAAGTGGCTGGTCGCTCCTCCCTGTGTCATCCTTGCTCTTCTTTAGGCTTACATCTGTTTGATATATTATAAAAACACAAAAAAGTATCCTTTCATGCTTATGAAGTTTTCTATATAGTAGCTGATTTATCTGTTGATGAACTTTGCTATATCACATTACTACTAATGTGATGATAAACACATCTTTCATATGTTAACCTGTACCCTATCCATCAGAATGTTAAACAACCCAGACATGGTGAAAAGGGCACGGAAACTCCTCGCACGCAAGGTTACAACCACTCCCAAGAATACCCCCACCACACGCCAGGGGGCAGCCAAGACCTCTGCCAAGGCCACCAAAGTTGCTGCGGCTAAAGTGAGTGTTGCCAACACCTCGGGGAAGGTCTCTGCATCCAGCCATACCAGTGCCTCAAACAACAACAACAGCAACAGCAGCAGCAGTAGTTACAAAGCATCTACCTCATCTGCGAGCAGTACAAAGCATGCGGGTGGCAGCAGCGGGAGCAATCAGGGCAACAGTAGCTCGCAGCCCTCGGCAAAGTCCGCAGCTTCAAAGACTAAGTGTGGGGATCAGGAAGGAGACAATGTAAGTGATGGTTTTCTTAACAGATTTAGCTTCTCAGTTTTTTCTTACTTTCCACTTTCTTTATTGCTATTCTGTAAGTTTCTGTCTGGACAAATATATGTATATTACTTTATATACAGTATGTTACTCACCAGACATATTAGTTGCAGAAACCACCTGTACTATGATATTGGCTGTGTTAGCTAGTGTTAGAAGGAAATACTAATTACAACAATAAATTTTGTTATTATGATATAGGCAATGACTCGTATATGCTTTTTAGTAAGAATCACATTTTATATCTCGCCTCCACTATACATTTTGTGTTGATAAGTCGTGGATTGCAGCTTGATGTCACTACAGCTGGTTCATGCAGACTAAACTAATTATATTTTATATAGACTAACCATAAACCTATACAGAAAAGCACTCTGAAGTTTGTGATAACTCTAGGCCAGCAGTCCTTCCATAGAGTAGAATGTTCTCATGCATCTATTACCTAAATTGATAAGTAAGTTGGGATTCAGGTAAGGACTGCAATGTTGAAAATTAATATTAATTCATGGGCATGAGTTGTACCTTTTGGAGTACCAATTTGGGTTTGATATTTATTAGAGATAGGACAGAGTGTCGATATTGGCATTAGTATTAATGGGATTGGCTGATTTTGTAGGATTTGGTACGAGTTCAACCAAAAATGGCCAGTTCTTTGGTACAGTATATTTTGAAATTAATGACAAAATCCAGAGTTCATGGTTTCTTCTGTTAGGAATACAATCTGGAAAAAGTCATGGAAATTGTGAAATTGTGGGGTTCAAAAGCCTTACATTATCACAGTTACAATACTGTATTTTTATTTTTACTAATCTTTATCAGTGTTGTGCAATAAGTAGAAGTAACTGGCAACTGACCCCACTGACTGGCATAATGCCAGATATGCTCAGGTGCCCAATAATACTTTCTGGCAACTTACTTCCAAGACTTAAATATGCTGCAAAAATCTGAGCTGTAATATTATGGGACCCATCCATGTGGAGGAATCTTATGTCTTACTCTGTCTTTTGTCTTTTTCTCTTTCATGTTCTACTTCTACTAATAGTTCCTGGTGCTGTTTTCTTATGCTACTCGTTTATGGGAAAGTTTAAATTTTGGATGTCCCCGACTTTTGTGGGACAAGATATGCTTCCTTGCATATTTTAATTTAGCTTGCATAAATCCAGTGTTCAACTCTAAACACCCAGAACAAAAAAAAATTTAAATACCTTGATAGTACTAGACCGACACCGAAAACCCGATGTGATGTTCTATTTCTCTTTTGATCCCAGAATGAAATTGAGTACAAAGTTAGTATAAAAAAGAACTTAATAGCTAGAAGCCACAGTCATATGGTTACTGTTGCTTTGGTTCTAATACTTTGCAAAGATGTAACATGGGGCAGATATGAGTACCATTGCTAAAATGGATAAAAATTCTGTCTCATAAAAGCATGGTAGTTATTCTTCAAAGAAAATCCTCAGTAAACTTGTTAAGGAAGCTGTATCCATCATCTGTGTAAAGAAAATGGGATTGCATAAATTGACATTGAAAAAAGGCAGTTTACTTGGTAGTGAATGTGAGACTTTTTCTTACTATACCATGTATATAGGGAAAATTTAATCTTGAATACATCTTGTCAATATTATCCAGGAAAGATATGAAAATATTTTTCTCTGTATGTTATTGGATATTGTTATTTTCTTCTTTTCACTTTTTGTGCTTAGTTTAATGACAGCATTATGTTTGTAGTCCTCTGTAGTTGAAAACAACAATTTAAAGAGATTGAAAAAATAGAAGAGTTGATTTGACTAAGTAATACTCTCAGGTACTTCAGAGTCAGATTTTTCTGTCTGTACAAATATTAGGGGAAATAGCTATCCTTTCCTGTTTTTTTCCAGGGAATACAAGTGTTCGACCTGCCAGAGGATCCTGACTACTCAATTCTCAAGAAGTCCATCAATGCCTCAGCAAATGGAGTTGCCAACCTGGCCAAACTTCTCGTCACAGGCACGAAAGAGGTATGCAGTGTTGTTTTCTACTCATTTTTCAGAATTGTACTCAAATGTAGATGAATATTACTGTGTTACAGGTGTTAGGTGATGAATAGAAATACAAAGATGAAGTGAACCTCACCTAAAGTGACCTTTTTAGTCATATGAGACTCTTCATCAGACAATGAAAACAAAATGGATCCATTCAAGTTTTGTCTTCAGATAAGTATTATATCCAGGCTGATTTTTCTTCTTCTTCTTCTTCTTCTTCTTCTTCTTTTCTTTTTTTTCTTTTTCTTATAATAGTTGTACAAGAAATTATACACATATATATGTCTATGTTCAGTGTTTTTATTTTTTTCCTGGTGGTTAATCAGAAATTATTTGAAGTAATATTAGATAAAGAAAATTGTTCTCAGTCCTGAATGATGCCTGGGAAATTCAGCACAACTTGATTAACACTTCAAAACATCAACCTTAATTTGTAAGAAAAAGTAAAATATATGAATGTTGGGGATGAGAAAGTTTGTTAGAAATTTTTAAAAGTAAGTTTTAAATAATGTTTTTAAAAATGTGATGATTCCTCTCTCCAGGTACA